TGTAAATAAACAAAATTGCCATGATTGGAGCCCCGAAAATCCAAGGCGTAAGCATCAGAAGCCCTTACACAGCCCTAAAGTTACAGTTTGGGCTGCTATGTCAGCGCATGGCATCGTAGGCCCTTATTTTTTTGAGGACGACAGAGGTCGCGCATTAACTGTTACTTCGGAGCGGTATGTAGCAATGATAGAAGAGTTCTTGACACCAGCGTTGCAGAATTTTCCATGCTATAATACGCAGACCTGGTTTCAACAGGACGGAGCAACTGCCCACACCTCCAACACTTCTATGCCCGTCGTCTGTCAACTTTTTCCCAGCAAAGTAATTTCTCGAAGAGGAGACATTTCCTGGCCACCACGTAGTCCAGATTTGATCCCAATGGACTTCTTTTTATGGGGCTACCTCAAGAGTAAAGTGTACGACACCACTCCGCGATCAGTTGATGTCCTGAAAGAAAATATCCGAAGAGAAATGGCAAGCATTACAGTGTTGACTTGCCGCGCAGTCATCGACAATTTTAGACGTCGTTTATATGAGTGCCGTGATCGTAATGGATTGCATTTAGACGATGTGATTTTTAAAACATAATTCCCATTCAATAAAGATGATAACAAAATATAATAATTCTTCATAATGTAACTAGTTTGGTTTTATTCCTTTTTTTCCAGCTCAAAGGACTTATGGGCCACCCTGTATATAGAAAACCCACACTATAGAAAATGGAAATTATCAGAGAAATATCATTGTACCCATGGGTATTTAGGGACATGCTTTGTGGATCGTGGATCCTCAAAATTAAAAAAAAATTGTAAGAAAACGGGTCACCTGTATTTTCTCTCAAAAGAGATAGCCTGATAGGTAAACGATAATCTGATTTCTCATATACCATTGGCTCAAATATCAAGTTTGTGAAAACCGTGCGACGGACTAAACAAATTTAGGAAATCTGCTCATAAATGAATCAGGAATTCAAAAATACAGTTCACGTTTTTGTTGTATTTCAGTAAAACGTTAAAAAACGACTTAAATAGGAAAGAATTGTTACTAACTTATCATTTTGGCAGTAAGAATTATCAATCCTACTGTCAAGTCGGTTGTTATTATTTTGTTTGACAGTTAATCAGTTTTTACACTCTGTCTTCATTAATTGATTAAAATATCAGAATAATGCAAAAATTTGTTGGAAATTACTTAAGTAGACCTTTTTTCCTGGCAGAAAGGCTAAATGGTGAAAAATTATCGCCGGTTTCTAAATGAGGATTTGTCCATATTGCTTGAAGTACCAATTCTAATTTTACACCTCAGAATCAAATTTTGGTGAATGCATGACGGTGTATGTTTTTATTTATTTTTATGGGGGTATTTCTTATTAGTCTGGCTTACCGCACCTTGAAGAGCTGAAAGAATATATGAGCTTCCTGCAATTAATTAATATTGGAGGAAATTCAACAATTGATCTTGTATCGATGTTCGACTTTTTTATTGTTATTTCGTTAAAAGTAGAAAAGTAAAATTATTTCAAAAACAACTACCTAAAAAAATCATTTAGATTCTGTCGTGGTCACTGATTGGCAACTAAAGCCTGGAATGTTTTTGACATTTTTTCACAATATAATAAATTGTCGATTTTAACCAATAGCGACTCATAGTCTTAAATATTATTACTCCGCTGACTTTTCTTAAGATCAAAAAAATAAAATTGTATTCCTTTATAATCAAATTTGATCTTTTGATTTTTTTTAGTGAACAAAATAAAATAAAGCTATTTCTTTGCATGGTGATATTGTCATATTAACTATATTGTTATGATCATACAGAGAAACAGTTTTTTTAAGCGAAAGCCGTGCATCAAATTGGAAAAGTTAAGCAATCAAATTTGTCTAGAAATTATTGGGGATTTCGAAAACATTTTTTATTTTAAATAAAATCTGTGGCCTACATTTAATGTCTGCTAAAAAAGGCAAGTGAAACTCCGTACGATTGCTACTGTTGGAAAAGAAAATAGGCAAGGAAAAATGCCTCTTGATACATCAAAGGAGGTGGGCTGATCAGAGCCATTTTTTGCCCATCAGCGAATAGATATGACATATATATTTATGAAGAGTATACTCCATAGCAAAGAAGAAAACATACTTCAAATGAAAATTGAAATTCGTGGTATACATAAAGTAAATAATTATGAGTGTTATATATGTTAATTAAACAATAATAAAATATTATCAGTTTTCATACACTGAATATATTTTTTACTAATCTTCTTCCTTTTCTTCATTCGAATCACTATCAGACCATCCTTCAGTATCATCAGAGGTACTTGTTGAAGTAAGAACTCTTGTCGTTACAGAAGATGAAGTGGGAGTCTTTTGAGATTGAGCCACGCGGATGCATATGATCTGCATTCAGGACACAACTTAGAACCAATCTGCAGATCACAGTTTTTAGATTTTCTAAGTATTGCTATAATGTTTTTGTTCGAGCAGCTACGGAAATCACCGTTTGTTTTTCGCCACGTTTTACAACAATCACACTGGCATCCAGGCATTATTATTTTAACAAGTTTTTAAATAAACGTTGAACGCGACAGCACAGCACAGTTTCTATACCTTTACTACGTAAATACGTTTCGAGCGCGAAAAATCATGTCTGAACACGCAGCGATTGCAGCGTGACTCACACTCACTCTCCCGCAGCATATATTACGTATTTTTGTATTGATGCGTTCACTGAATCAAAACAAATGAATACTCATATAGCTTATAATAAGTAGACTCACTGAGTATTCAAGTTAATGTAGTTCATGGAACGCTTCGTGGGAAACATGATTCAAAGATTGAAAAACAACAAAAAGCGCTTAATACTCTATTTCTTGGTAATCTTTTCTGAAGCATATTACATTATTTATACCGTAAATATTATATAATGAAAAAATGCACGTCTTGAAGTTGTAAACTAAATTCAATAATACTCTAGAATCGAACTTTTTATTTTTGAGTATGTTATGGGCGAAAAATGGCCCTTATTAACCCACCTCCTTTCAGTAAATCATCTAAAGTGGTATTACAGACATTAATAATAGTTCATTTATTTTCAACTATAGCTCCCGGTATCTCAAAAGCTAAGAAATTTAGGACATACGTACTTATGAAGTGTGAAAATGGACCCAAAAATCACCCCCTTAAATATTGATATTCAATTAAGAGACAACCTGTATATAGTCATTTCTCAGCGTGATTTAAGTGCTTCTAGTCAATACTCGGGTACCAAAACGGAAGAGAGTAGCACAACTCACCTTTCGCTACTACTAGCGCAAGCTATTTTTCTAAATTTCTAGAAATAATTTCGAAATGTTTTGATAGTTTCTCTGTGTATATTGTAGAAATCGCTTGTTCTGTCTTATCGCAGGCACGTATCTATCTGGTCAAAACTGCCTGGCCCCTTAACCCCCAGCTTTAAGAGGAGCTATGCAAATAGCATAAAGTGCCCGGTCCAGAGGGGTTCTCATGATTTTTGTCCTTGTACTTCATCACGTCTAGCTACGCCACTGACCACTGCCCTGTCCTCAAGTGTAATCAGTACTTCACATAGTACGCTTTACGGCAGTCGTTTCGCACAGCTTTTAAAGTCGCCAAAACGGTAGTCTACATAGAGGTACCCCAGGAGAGCCTTGGAGTGGCGCATGAGTTTTTGGTGTTGTCAGCATGTTACCATGAAACATCTGTGACAGTTGCGCAAAATGAAGCTCAAAATATGTCTGCCGTTTATAAATGTGCAGCTCTTATCAAGTTTCCTTTGAAAAAATCCTATTATCCAAAATGAGAGCTCTTACTTTTTGCTGAACCCTGACTTGATAAGGACTTGCACTTTTATAAAATCCATGTTACGGAATCTTGGAAACAAGTGTCTGATTTCAATTCATCAGAGACATCGTGGAAATCAAAACTTCACTATAATACTCTATATAATCAATGAGCTCAAGTGACTACACCTAGGAAGAAGCCTGAGAATAGCTTATAGTGCGATCTGGATTTTGGAGTTTCCCACTCTTTCAAAAATAACAGGGTTGGTAGAACATTACACATTTTTGTGTGATGAACGTTTACATTGAGTGGCTTTTGGTATTTCACGGAGGCGTAATCGACTAGGATCAAACTAAGGAATGGAATTGACTCGAAGATTTGGAAGATGTTGAGTAGATAAACGTAAAAGTAAGCTATTCTTTTGGGATGCATAGGAGAAGCCGTACTATTGAGTAGTGTGCACCAGACAAAAACTAGTTGAAGAAGAACTACAACAGGAAAAAAGCACTAGATTGCGTGTACAAACATGACCTGTCAAAAGTGGTGCTGAAATGTAAGAACAACTAGATATAACGTTCTTCTGAAAATTCACATGGAAGCAGCTTTCTTTTTTGAAATACATTTCATCCGCATTAACATTACTTTGTTATAACTTGCATATAATAAATCGTTGGATACATTTATCATTGTCCAATCTAACAGGTTTGGCACTTTTTTAATAATATTTGAATATTTCTTACCGCATGTGCGCATTTTCGAAAGCATTGACTTTTGCAGAATTTTCACAATAAGGATTCAATTTGCTACGTTTTGCTTTTCATTCGAGATACATCGCCAAAGTAAAACAAGACACGAGCATTTTTGTTGTTAAAGTTGTATAGTTTTTATCGATCCTTTATACTACATTGTCCATATGCGATGCTGGTCAGAGGAGGGATGTTTGATCAATCACACTTGACTAACAGACAGGACTCGTTCGCCACGACTCCAATCGGCGGGTGAAGAACCAAAAAATTCCACCATATCAAAAAAACAATCATTCCTGCACTCCCGTTGCTCCTAAATATAATCACAGCGTCTCCCAGCTCGTGTTCAGATGCAAAGCTTTTCGCTGTGACTTTGCAAACGGAGAAAAGTCAAAATAGCATAGAGCTATGAGGTGGACGATGTAGCGCTTTCCAGATTCTTAAAAAAAAACTTACCTGAGCACGATGCGCCAAATGCGTTGTCGATTTGAAGATACAACGAGTGCAGCGGCACTTTGGGTCTTAAATTTTTCATTGGTGAAAATAGTTGAATCAAACTATCTTCTATGACTATTTATCCGGGTCTGTCTTCTGTTTAACAAGCACCATTTTTGCGACTAAAGGCTGTCTGTCACGATACAAAATTTTGTTCATAATTTGGTACCAAAATTCGTTACTGAATTTAATTCCCGATGTGTTTACGTCTGACATGTAAAGAAATGTTTGTACTAAATTTCGTACGAAATTATGAGTAGTTGGTAGAAAAAAACTATAACTATTCAAATTCTGCCATTTATCACGTCAAAGTCATTCTAACTACACGCGGCTTGCTACTTTATTTCAACGAATTTAATATAGAAAATGGAGCGATCCCGTAAAAGAATTTGATCATGGAGAGGGACAAGGTCATGGGTGTGCTCCATGTGCTGAATAAACAACTTCTAGTGGATGATCCACTGGCTTATAAGTTTAATTGGTTCTAGTTATTCTGATTTTACCCAACGCAGCTTATTTGGCCTTACTTTTTACAGCATATGAACAATCGTATCTCTCATATTCGTTTAGTAATGTCACACTGCTCTTTTGATCATGGCATCTTTTAAGCTTTCAATCCCTAAGTAGAACAGGCTAAGCAGGGGAGTTTCGCGAAACATGAACACAACTAATGAAAGTGAGGTTAGGGGTGTTTTTGTCAACCAAATATCATCTCATCTAATTATCACAAAACTTCAAGCAGTTACCACAAAACATTTAATCCCTTGTCAGGTAGCGCTTGCAATAGTCATTGTACTGCTCCAAATGCGCAGTAGTCGTCTGCGTACTTTTAGTATATTATTTACAACAGGTTCTCAAAAATTTAGCACTAAATTTGTCCATACAAAATTATGTACTCAATGCTGTCCGACACTATCCTTAATTTTGTACGAAATTTAGCGTACTGAATTTAGCACAAAATTTCGTATCGTGGCAGGCGGCCCTAAGTCTGATCATTGTGTTTCCAACCAACCGCGACTTTTTGACTTGAATCGGCTGTCTATGTGTGATTTGCCTGCCGCTCGCACGATCTACGTTCTGTTACAACTTCCTTTGATCGTTTAAATTAAATAGGGCACGTTTAAAATTTAGGTCGGCTTATCCTCGCCATCTATATACTCGTATTTTAAGGTGCCTATCTTCATTTACAAGTACATGTACCACCACTTTCTGGCTAGAGAACATAACCCTCCTTATCCACCGAACTTATTACGTAACTTGCAACTCGTATCGTATGGCAGCTGCTGCCAAACGTGTTCCATAGTTACCGTGGCTTTGCTCTTCTCCATGATACAGCGGCGTTTAAGGCCTGTTAGTGAGCTTCTGGTTCCCGTATTAATTTGGTCGACCACTGTATATAGACTATACATGATTGTACACGCGTTAAGGAATACCTCAGTACCGATTGCCGGATCGCGGGCTACTTTAGGTTTCTTCAATAAGCAAAAATGTGGTAAACGACCAGTCGACTGAGGCGGAACCACCCGCTAGCTTTTTCCAGGGTATCTTAAGAATGTCCGAATGTTTCCACACCTAAAAGCTACGCAGTCAGTTATCTTCCAGAACAAATAATTTAATGATGATAGATCCCTCGAGTTCTAAGAATTCCGGACGTAAACTAAATCCATTCTCGGAATGTCTCGAGTGGAGGGAGGACTCGAGGGAACAACATCAATAAAAAAATCTTTTTCACAAATATCTGCAGGAATAGCAACACTGCTATACGCCTCCGTTTGCTATCCAATCGTTTCGTCATGCTTTTCCTGACTAGTTCATCATTCCTTGAAAAACTTCACTACTCACGACTGATATTACCGAATCCCGGTGATCCAATCGGACTAGTTATGAGTGAAAGAACGAGAAAGGAGACAACACAGCTGTAAGCAGAAGGATGTATAACTGGTGCTGAAAAAGATAATTACATGATCAAACGAACTTGTAACATCGTAGTAGTACCCAACCGCCACGATTTCAAAGCGCGCACGCAGAGAAGGAAAGCGACGCCGCGCCCCTTCCCCCTACCTTTCTCCTCTCTGGCCGACTATAAACCTTCATTTACTTCAAAGCCAAGTTGTTGAAACAACGAGACTTAAAAACTCAGAAATCCTAATTTCAGTATTATTCAACCCAATCCAGATGTTGTCTGCTCCAATTAGTTTGCACACTCTGACCTGAGGTTAGAGCTAGCAGTCTTGCTGTTTTCCTCATCCAAATATCTACAGAGCCTACCAGTCACCTCTTTGGTTGGTTGAGAACAACCACATTATCTATATTTCGGTTAAGATCGCCTCAGCCTGTAAATGCCTTTCAAAAACCAGCTTATGTCTACATCGTTAGTAAAATTTTGGGTAAATGACTGATAGCTCAAACAATTATATCTTGTTCTCTTATCACCTGTAAGGTAAGAAATTTCAAGGTAGGAGACATGTATTTCTTCCCGACAAACGTCCTACCGTAATCTAAGCTCACAATACATGATGGATTATCGATGTTGATTGGAATGACAGCTTTCCAGTCACGATAACCAGGGTAAGCTTACGAATTAGTGGGAGCGTCCTGGATCCCTCCATCAGATCTTTGCGTTACTTCTAGAAGTGAAATTTCAGAAACACCGAATACTTGAGCCAAAATCAGGACGGTGACAGGTGCAGCTCCCACTCCGTTTCCACGTCCAACTGACGCAAAGCTTATCTGTACCGGTGTTACTCCGAGATTTTATATTTGACGCGAGGGCAGTAAGATTTCTCTCTTTACACAATTGCCGTAGTTTTCCCGCAACCTGGTCCAGACGTGGAAACCAGAAGCTCTCCATTCTGTTGATGTACGATGGGGTATAATATGCGACAGCCCATCAACTCGGTAGCAAAGCATTCACCACAGAAGAAAACTACCAGTTGTTCGTGATGATTAGCATGCGGGATCTTCTCGGGTCACCAAAAAGTAGAGACTCCCAACGAATGCCCCAGTCCGCGAAACAACAAAAAATTGGATAATTCAATACCTCTGACCGCATCTGCAAGTTTAAGTTATATTATGTTAGTGGCATAGTAGCGTTAAAATTCTCTTGAGAATTTTACAAAGCAAGAAATTTCACTCGTTAGTGTATACGAGTAGTCGGCTGTAACGAAATGAAAGACAAGCCGGCACCAAGATCCCGATATTCACCGCAAAGTTTCGGACTTTGTCTTGGTTGCTGTCCATTATTGCTCTTACTAGGTTTAGTAATGTCTACATCGTCCGCTCAAGTAGAATTACTTTCTTTCTGACACAACTTGATACTGAGCCTGAAAGTACTCAATTTTTTCTTAAGGTATTCCATAAATGGTTTATTAACTTTGTGAACAAATAAGGCGTATAATTTACCCTAAACGATACTGCATTGTATTGGAAGAGCTGTCCCTTGAATATGAATCTGAAATATATTCTATCACCTTCCCTACCGGGTACCAAAAACCCTGCATATCCCAAATCCAGATTCGTTAAGAAAGTATCTCTAAGGAGAAGTCTGATCCCTGTTCAATAGCCTAGGCTTAAGTGTTATATCCCCATAAACAAACAGTCTTGAGGTAAGGAATCAAACGTGTTGACAGACTTGGGGGCAAGAAAAAGTTCGATAGGTGCTGATTTTAAGTTAGCTCAACTTTTTTACGGATACCACCGCAGCTACGCAATTCATAGATGGACTAATGAGATTCAGCTATGTCAAAGTGCTAAACCAGTCGCCATCTGAATGGCAAGTGACCATTGGAGTCCAGCTCAGGACTTTAGCGCCACTCCTAAAGCTCTGTCATTGATCATGAATACGCGTTAATGTCCAGGCTGATCTACACACCTCATCTGCAATAGTGGGTTGATGTTTTCAGTACGTTGTCCGGCCTTTTGGCCTTCAGTTGCTGCTCTGTTTATCTGATTTCTATTTAGAATTGACTTACTTGGTCAGACCTACACCAAAGCGCAAGATACCACTGGAAGCCTCTGTCAGAGTACTCCTGAGTTCTTTGCTTTAATGTGAATATCTGACAGCGTGCACTCATCTCCCTTCTTTAAACCTAGATAGAGTATTGCCACTTGCAGTTAATGAACAGCTCACATCTTGCTGTACACAGTCCAAGCACGCATCCCTGCGTGCGACAATTTCTATTATGGCTTCCGTTACCTCAGGGTTCACCTTAGGTGGCTAGAATAGAACAGTATTTATTTATCTATCGTCATCAACAAGATCTGCTCCCGAAATGTCAGCCTTGGAACAACGCGCGAACATTAATTATACTAAGGTCATCGTGGTGATGCATCATCTATTGAAACAGACTACATGGCTTTTAAGACAACACAATCCAGAGCGCTCAGCTGTTCGAGTGCCACCTATGCAAAATGTAACGTTAATCGGCTATAATGATATTTAACTTCCGTTATTAATGAACGTTAGAACTTTGGTGGTTTCCTAACCGAGATGTTCATACGTACAGTCCTGTTCCATGGTTATCACCAGCCATGTGGAATTTGGTATGTCAAACAAAATGTAACGCTAGTCTCGCATATACGAACCTAATCTCTATTTGTTATTAATGAGAAATGGTACTTCGGCAGTTTCCTAAACTGTCTTGTGCATTCTTATTATTCTCTTCGAGGGTTATCACAAACCAGATGGAATTTGCCATCACAAGCAAAATGTAACGCTAACCTCACATAACATACCTAATCTCTATCTGCTAATAAGGAAAAAATATATCTTAACAACTTCCTAGCCTGCCATGTTCAAACTTACAGTCCTGTTCCATGGTTATCACAAACCAGAGAAAATATTGTTGAACATACCTTGTTGCTACGTTGTCCAAACGTTTTCTGTGTTGTTATTTGCGCAACGAAGTTCAGTATTGAGTCATTTTCCCCAAACATCTGCATTCGTCCTTGGTGTGGACTATCACAAGCTAGGTCCATGTTGCTATTACAAGCAACCGAGTCCAATGTTACAACGTTATCCCAAATGTCTTCGTTCGTCCTTGGTGTGGAGCTGACCATCCCAAGCCAGGTCCACGTTGCTATCCCAAGCAACCGAGTCCAATGTTTCAGCGTTATCCCAAACGTCTTTGTCCGTAGTAGGTATGAAGTTGGCTATCACAAGCTAGGTCCAGGTTGCTATCCCAAGCAACAGTGTCACGTTATCCCAAACGTCATGCTAGGCAAAATTTGCAGCGCCGGTGAGGCATCCATATTAATATTCATTTAACTTGCACCCAAAACAGATCGGTTA